TTGGCAGGTAATTTACATTAATTTTTCTTTCTTAGAAATTCGAAAATATGTTCTGAACTAACAAAATCATATGTCAGATGTGACAGGGACACGAAAAAAAATGGACCCCTTATTTCTGGAATTACCCACATATATATGTACATGTATCTGGTAGGAAATTTCATCTACATGTAAACAGCTGAATCCAATATTTGGGTTAAACCAAAAATGCCTGGTTGTTCCACAGAAACTGATATTACATGTAGGTATTTAATCACTGTTCAAGTCCTACCTCAGTAATTGTATGAATTTTCACTGCAAAGCACGTTGATAACACAGAGTATTACCAGCCAAATAAAACACTGTGTATGAAACTTAACATCTTCCAGCACCCTAGTTTAAGATACAGAATCTGTCAGTGGGGTGCTGTAAATCAAGTTGTGCATGTACGGTACACTGTACACGGACCTGCCACATTTTGAATTGCTTCTTGTTTTCATTACTATTACTGTCGCGTGTAAGAGAGTTTTCTTTTCAAGACATTTTCAATCATCTGACAGTTCCATTGATGCCAATGTGGCTGGCCTAATTTCCGAAGGTACCAAACCTCTGCACAATAAAACCAGCTGCTCCTCTTCGTTTACCACCTGCTACTGATACATCTTTTATTCATTACCCCGTCTCCACACTGTCTATTTTTCATATTTACATGTACGAGTGAAGCAATACATACGTCCCTGTGTAAGCGACTACAGACATGGAGTACGAACAAGAGAGGGCGTTTAGTAGTCGGCGTAATGCCTGCATTGGTATACCCTGATTAAAGCGTCTGTGACACAGAGTATTCTTAAGTACAAGACTGATTCTCATCCAAAAGTGTGTTAACAGCAGTTTTGCCCAATCGCTTAAATGCATAGGTGTGCCTGGGCACAAACTTTACATGTGCATGTACATACTGGTATATGTACATGCACTTCAAGTACATGTATACTGGTATAGAAAAAGCTTGTCAGAAATTAGTGTGTATATTGCGCCACTGTCAAAGCTATAAATTCTGTACCTAATGTACACAAGTTACATATACACCTTTCCAAACTTACTCCAAGAAGTAAGACAGAACATGGCTGACTCCAACTAACAATGCCCACTAGTCTATAAAATGCATCTTCAAGGGCTAGGCAGTCCTTTGCAGTTCACACTATTCAGCACACTGTCATACAATCTGCAAGTTCCATTTACATTTCCCATACACCTCTCTCTTCTAACAATCCTAACTGTTAGTGCTCAAATGTTAGTTCAAGTTTCCTGTGAGTTTTGAGGACAAATGTGCTCCTTTTTCTAATTTCAATTGCGGTCAGAATTTCAAAACGATTGACGATCCATCTCTGCAACGATGCCCCGATCAACATTGGGTTTTGCTGCTCACCCTGTGATTAGGAAGTCAAAGTAATCACAATCTTTGCTGTCTCCCCTTAACATTGGTGAGACAAGCTCCCCAGGGAAATTGTCTTCCACTCTTTAAGAGTTTTTTTTTCTGTTCCGCTTAGCGGGCGGCATCCTGTGATAAATGTTGTGTGTCGACTAACGGTACTGGGAGATGAACCGCAGCACAGCATCAATCTATTTGTCATGGCGACCATTTGATATGTCAAGTTTACTTGCGGAAAGGTGTGAAGGGGAAGGGTGAGGGAGAATATACTGGCGGCACTAATCCAAACAGATGGGCTTAATCAACTGAAACACGCCAAGCCGGACCATTTCACCTTGAGGTAGAATACAACTTGTGAACAATCTTCAAGTTCCCTGGCACTGAAATGGTTCATTGAATTTAGTCGACTTGCAGATTTAGATTCTTACAGACTGTTCAAGGCAAGTCTTGACAACATCAAACACTAAGCTAACTTATTCAAGGAATTCCAGTGTTTTGAGAGAGAGAAGATCTCAACAAGCCCACATCATTTGAAACAAATGAATGGGTATGCTTTGAATGCCAGCAAGGTTATAACATCCAGAACACACTTACTTACACTTGGTAGTTATACATAATCAATAATTCATTCATTTTATTTCTCTGTCAGATTCGCAGACTTGACGCCGACCATAAATTGATTCACTTAATGCAGATCAGCAACTGAAAAGGGACATCGGATGTACATGTCCAGTACTTTCCGTGCAGATGGTACAATGGGCCTGAGTAGTTTGTTGACTACATGAAGTTTTCAACCTAGATCTAAAATACATGTACTACTTAACACAGAGCTTGGGTATATAAATGTTCAAGTAACTGAATTAAAGGACTACTGAGACGGAACAGAAGTGGCAATCCACTGCACCAAAGAAAAATATTATCAGCAAATAATGTTGGAATGTACCGTTTGATAGGTCACTGGTCCCTTTTTCTGCCACGGAAAATTTATCCATTTGTACGGTATTTCCACATCTAAAGTACATGTATACAAGCATCAATGCAGCTTAACTTTTCATCTCTTTTCATTGCAAGATACACGTATGTCAAAAGAGACTCAAGAGAGGGCAATTAATGAACAGGAGTAGGTGCTTTCCCTTAAAACAATTTAAACTTATCAAATCTATGGCACACGTAGCATAACCGGAAGAATGGCACCCTTAAGAATTGATGCCTGGTGCATACATGTACTCGCACATGTAGATCTTACAAATCCTGACATTCTCTACAAAAAAAAAGATATAAATGGCACACAGTGAACAGCTTGGTGTAAAAATACATAAATTGTAGACACATAAATCCCCTACGGTCTTATGGGAAATCACTTTCTTGTAAATATTTAGTTTTCACTGTGCTCTTGACACCTTCCAAATCTCTCTGTCAACAACTGCAGTCAGAGGTTTGAGCGCATGAGTGGTGCATGAGTGGCGAGGGTTCAGGAGGACAAACTTACATACGTGTAGATTCATGTTGGGTACCGTAAACATTTGCAGGTTTAAAAAAGCTTCATGCAAAAAGACTTCAACCATGATTGTAAAATGAAATCTCTTGAACGCAAAGGGGTGCAAGCTCTTGTAATTCTAGGAAAAAAATCTTTTCCAATATCGTTTACCAAATTGAGCTTCAAAGAAGATGAGATGATCCAGGAAGAATGACGATTCTACCAGCACCGCTACCTGTAATCTTCTGTCAAAAATGGTTCAGTGGTCGATGTAATAAAATAAATCATTACGATAGATGAGGAACATGGTTTTGTAAGGA